CGGGTTCCCGCAGGGACGCGGATGCGTCCCTGCGGGAACCCGGTGACAAGAGGGAAGGGGCCCGCGCTTGGGCTGGGGGCCTTCACATCTCCATCCATTTTGACAGCTGAGGTGGGCTCCTGCCGTCTTGGTTTTGAGCCTACCTTGGTTTGGACCGGTGCGGTGGATCGAGCTACAGGTGAAATGAGGGGGCTGACACATGCGGGGGGTACTTCAGCCACTGCAAGGTGGCAGCTGCCTCTCCTTTGTTTCCATGCCAAGAGCAATTGGCGATGACCTTTTGTTTTTAAGCAAAAGCCGAGGCTTTCTAGTGGTAGCCTGGTGCTGGTGGGTGAAGTGTTGCGATTATTAGTGTTTCCGTAGTGAGGTATTAATGAAGCAGTCAGTGCTTTGAGTAACGGAAGTGTCTGAGGGCACATGACGGCACATCACTACCAGCAAAAGGCATTAAAATTAAAAGAAAAGGCCTCCTGAGGTGATGATTGTATTTCACTAGAGCTGCTGAGTTGCTTCATCTTCCAGGCTTGCTCCGAACCCTGGGCTTTCTGCTCCGCAGAGGGGCTGCCGATGGCAGTGTTGGGTCTCCCGCTTATTCCCGAGTCAGCTGGCAACGTATCAACCTCGTTCGTAATTACACAGCTACAGAGGATTGCTCACTTCCTTCGCAAAGGACATGTGTCTTTTATAAATCGAAACTAATGAACCCGCTGCTTGAGGATGCAGCTGACGACAACATCATCCGTCTCTCCCTTTTGGGAGCTTTTGTGTATGTGACCGCAACCTGTCAAAGAATGTGTTTTAGGGGACAGTCACCGCAAAGGTGATGCTGGAACTCACGTTGCCATCACGGCTGTTCAGCAAAGCTACTGTCTGGTGCAGGGAGGCTTTGGGCTGGGAGCTGTGGCCTTTCACACTGGAAGTTAGGTGGGTTCCCAGCTTTGGGTGTATTTTAATAACTGCGTATTTCTACTCAGAGGAAAAAAAAATCCCCTTTCCGATATTTTTAATGTACCCTGGGAAGCAAAAACCTGTAGGAAGAATTAGTCCACTTTCCAATCCAGATCTCTCCCTCACTTTAATGGGTAGCTCAGATCTGACCGAGTAAAGTTCTGTGCCAACAGGGAGCTGGATTATGGCCCCGCGCAGGTGAACAGCTCTGCTGATGGAAATTGTTTTGCAGGCGTGAGGCTTTCCTGGCCAGCCGCTTTCTCGTGAAGTGCCTGTGAGCCGATCAGGTGCCGTGACAGGTTCCTTCAGCAGCGGGAAGCTGTTGGAGTAACTGGCGCTGTTTTGGTAGCAAGAAGGGACTTTCTGCTTTCCCTTGGACGTTTCTGTTTGCAACCAGAAAGGCGTCTTGTGCACCTCATCTTTTTTTTAATTTCTGGCCTTGCCACAGGCAGGCCCCCCCCCACCTCCGTGCACCCCCCGCCCCAGCCTTGCCGAGCGTCCCACCGCCCTGGGTGGGTGCCGGCTGGCAGGCAGCACGGGACGCGGTATTCCCCCGAGCGGAGGGGCGGGCGCGGTTGCCACGGCGGCGGGG